AATCAACTCAAGACAAAATCACACTAAATCAAACCAACTCAAGACAAAACCACACTAAATTAAACCAACTCAAGACAAAACCACACTTATAAATCAACTCAAGACAAAACCACACTAAATCAAATTAACTCAAGACAAAACCACACTAAATCAAACCAACTCAAGACAAAACCACACTAAATGAAACCAACTCAAGACAAAACCACACTAAATCAAATTAACTCAAGACAAAACCACACTATATCAAATTAACTCAAGACAAAACCACACTAAATCAAACCAACTCAAGACAAAACCACACTAAATTAAACCAACTCAAGACAAAACCACACTTATAAACCAACTCAAGACAAAACCACACTAAATAAAACCAACTCAAGACAAAACCACTCTAAATTATATCAACTCAAGACAAAACCACACTAAATAAAATCAACTCAAGACAAAACCACACTAAATGAAACCAACACAAGACAAAACCACACTAAATAAAACCATCACAAGACAAAACCATGCCAAAAAAAACACAAGACAAGCCAAAAAAAACATCCAAACAAGTTCAATCATCCAGATAAAAAATATATTAAGCAATATAAAAACCCCAAAAAAGCAGAATCAATCAATTTCCCGGCGGAACAGATTAATTAAAAAGGATCAATAAACTTATTTTTCAAGATTTTTTTGCATTCACTTCAACCTAGTAAATTGTATTGTGATAAATATGAGAAGAAGGGGTCCAGTCGATAAATATCTTTCAGTATCTCATTCCTACTCTGAAAATATAACCGGTATGGTCACCCCCCTAGGACTGTCCAGTACACCCCCCCCCCTCCTTCCGCCAAACGGTTTAGTTTGAAGTATAGTTCGAGAAACAAAAGACTGATATATACAGGGTGTCCCACGAAACATGACAGTTGGTGAACAGTTTAGAATGTCTTCTACCAAAGAAAATAGTAAAAATATGATATGGGAGTAAAATTGAGTTTTAAGTGAAATATATTGAAGCAAACGATTTTTTTAATGAAATAAACTGCAAAAAGCCTTTAATATCTTATACAGTACATGGAAGACGACATTCATAACTATTTATCAACTGTCATGTTTCGTGGGAGACCCTGTATATTGATAAAGAAGTATCTGATAAGTTTGTTAGAGTCTTATTCATACATTTATTTATTTAAATTATTAAGCTTGCCACAAAAATTGAGATTCAGAGCTGAAAACTTTAGAATGGTGGATATCAGGATTAAGGCTTAAACCACAATCTCGAGATTAAATATTGCTTGATTAATGCATGATTTTAATCTTCAGATTAATTATTCGACGGGATATCTGGATATTTCATTCTAAAGTTTTCAGCTCTGGTGTCTTATATTTGTTCCTCTGATTGAACCTAAATCAAGAGTTTATCTTATCACGACAAATAAAATCCTGTTTTATTTCTAAGTGCGTTCTGCTTCAATTTTTTGTCATCTTTCATTTTGACCCGCCAAAAAAAAAGTTTATGTAACTTGTAAATAAATTATTTCTCGTATTTGAACGAAAAAAATGTTTCAGTGGGGTGTTTGAATGGACTGTTATGTAAAAATAGAAGGGGGTATAGACTGAAGCCTAAAATTTGTATGAGTTGATCGCGACCAATATTAGTTCTATCTGATGTCCCTGTCTCAAGAAATTGATATAAAACTGTTTCAAAGTTTTATACAGATCATATATATTCAGAAAATACGGAACAAATATAAAAATTAGGATAATCCAGAGGTGCCTAAAATGTTAGGTATGCTCTTATTATAATTTGAATATAGTACTTCTTCATTTTTAATAGTTATAATTGATAGTATATAATTGTTCTGTATCACGTGACCAGAATTTCCACCAATGGTCGTTCAATATCTGGTGACGTCACTCCGTCGGCCATATTGATTTTGTATGAGTTTTTATATAATTTTGACAGTTCAAATCCTGAAATTTTTAAGCTTCAGTTTGTACCCCCTTTCATTTTACTTTAACAGCACCTTTAAAGTGGAAATTGGACTTAAAATTGGACTTAAAAGGGGAATTGGTTTTTATGGCAAAAGACCAAAAGCTTGCGTCATAAAATCGTATTTTTGGTTTTTTTCTCTCGTCACTTAATTATCTAAACTAGAAGACTAGTGAATATCTAAACTAGAAGACTAGTGAATATCTAAACTAGAAGACTAGTGAATATCTAAACTAGAAGACTAGTGAATATCTAAACTAGAAGACTAGTAAAGTATTGAATCTGTTTATAAAACCATACCGGATATATTTGGCAGTATATTTAACAGTGTAGATAATGTTCTCCCTCCAACCAATAAACAATACACACACTCCTTTTTCTTCTCTTACTTACTCTGCAAACTATTTGTTTCTGTTCAACGGTATTGTCTTCAGGGGGAAACCAAGAAATANTACAATTGTTATGTAAACAAAACTTTGACAACAAATTTGGTTTTTATTGAAATATTGAAATTTTGCAATAAGTTCCTGCATTTGTATTGAAATATGTTCCTGCATTTTTATTGAAATATGTTCCTGTATTAGTAATGAAATATGTTCCAGTTTTTGTATTAAAATAAGTTCCTGTATTTGTATTGAAATATTCTCCTGTATTTGTATTGAACTAATCTCCTGTATTTGTATTAAACTAATCTCCTGTATTTGTATTGAACTATTCTCCTGTATTTATATTGAACTGTTCTCCTGTATTTGTATTGAACTAATCTCCTGTATTTGTATTGAACTAATCTCCTGTATTTGTATTGAACTATTCTCCTGTATTTGCTTTGAAATATTCTACTGTATTTGCTCTGAAATATTCTCCTGTATTTGTATTGAAATATTCTACTGTATTTGCTTTGAAATATTTTCCTGTATTCGCTTTGAAATATTCTCCTGTATTTCCTTTGAAATATTCTCCTGTATTTGTATTGAAATATTCTCCTGTATTTGTATTGAACTAATCTCCTGTATTTGCTTTGAACTATTCTCCTGTATTTGCTTTGAAATATTCTCCTGTATTTGTATTGAACTATTCTCCTGTATTTGCTTTGAAATATTCTCCTGTATTTGTATTGAAATATTCTTCTTGTATTTGCATTGAAATATTCTCCTGTATTGTGTATTGAAATATTCTCCTGTATTTGCTTTGAAATATTCTCCTGTATTGTGTATTGAAATATTCTCCTGTATTGTGTATTGAAATATTCTCCTGTATTGTGTATTGAAATATTCTCCTGTATTGTGTTTTGAAATATTCTCCTGTATTGTGTATTGAAATATTCTCCTGTATTGTGTATTGAAATATTCTCCTGTATTGTGTATTGAAATATTCTCCTGTATTGTGTATTGAAATATTCTCCTGTATTGTGTATTGAAATATTCTCCTGTATTGTGTATTGAAATATTCTCCTGTATTGTGTATTGAAATATTCTCCTGTATTGTGTATTGAAATATTCTCCTGTATTGTGTATTGAAATATTCTCCTGTATTGTGTATTGAAATATTCTCCTGTATTGTGTATTGAAATATTCTCCTGTATTGTGTATTGAAATATTCTCCTGTATTGTGTATTGAAATATTCTCCTGTATTGTGTATTGAAATATTCTCCTGTATTGTGTATTGAAATATTCTCCTGTATTGTGTATTGAAATATTCTCCTGTATTGTGTATTGAAATATTCTCCTGTATTGTGTATTGAAATATTCTCCTGTATTGTGTATTGAAATATTCTCCTGTATTGTGTATTGAAATATTCTCCTGTATTGTGTATTGAAATATTCTCCTGTATTGTGTATTGAAATATTCTCCTGTATTGTGTATTGAAATATTCTCCTGTATTGTGTATTGAAATATTCTCCTGTATTGTGTATTGAAATATTCTCCTGTATTGTGTATTGAAATATTCTCCTGTATTGTGTATTGAAATATTCTCCTGTATTGTGTATTGAAATATTCTCCTGTATTGTGTATTGATGATATTTAAGGGTTTCCAATAGAATTGGATTTCGTGTAAACCTGTGATTTAACTTAAAACTTTAAATTAGAAACTATATGAAATTAGGATAATAAAGTGGATCATGTAATAAATGAATTTTTAAAAATGAGATCTTAACTTTTTTTTCGGGTACTAACTTTTTTACCTTTAATATGAGCGCTAGATTTTAAAGACAAAATGTACATCTTAGATAAGTAACGTCTAGCAAAATAAAATGTTATTCTCAAAGTTTTTCTTTTTTTAGATTACAAGTTTGAGAATCCAGAAGGTAAAAATCAATTTCTTTATTTTTGGGCATTTTTTTTCATAAAGCACATCCAGGTGAAACTTCCTGGATAATCTAAATTAAGAGAACTAAAGAATACTGCGGCAAATTCCTCCAATACAGGGGTAGATAGTACACTTACAATAAATACAATTCCTCCAATACAGGGGTAGATAGTACACTTACAATAAATACAATTTCTCCAATACAGGGGTAGATAGTGCACTTACAATAAATACAATTCCTCCAATACAGGGGTGTATAGTGCACTTGCAATAAATAAAATTCCTTCAATACAGGGGTAGCTGTAAACTTACAAAAAATACAATTTCCCCAATACAGGGGTAGATAGTTTTAAGAGTACCGTTGTGAATCAGGCATATCCCTCTTTTTAAATGAAGGGTCGCTAAAAATATCAGTTCCAATACGTTTTAACATTGCTAAGGATCAACAGACTTAGGTTTATAAAGTTAAACACTATTAACGTGTTTAATAAACGAGTTTTTGGTGAGAAATTATGATAAAGATTATAGAGATTCCTTTTTAATAGAAATATTAAAATTAACTACACAACTTAACACAGCGCACAAACATACAAAGGTTTTTAGGGTACCGTTGTGAATCGGGTATTGTCCTTCTTGCAGTTACAGTTTTACAGTTACTTTAAAATTGATTTTTAATTCAACATAATTTATTGACGATTTATTTCAGGAAAATGCTTTCTAAGCGGGCGTACAGTACTTACTTGGAAACAGAGGTAAAAGACGTTAAACATAATTTTTATTAAATGTTAATTTATTTTAAATTTCAAGTTTTTAATCAATACTTATTTCAATATTTCTTTATTCATTACAAAAATAACACACACACAAAAAATCGCAAACTTTATGATTTTATTTGGTGAATTTTCAAAATTAATGGAAGAAAAAAACCGATGAGAGCTCTTCAAAACTATGGGCCCGATAGGTTTCACCGTTCATTAAATCCAAACCAGATGTTCATCAAAAATCGCAATATTGTTTTAAATAAACTTAAATTTTCTTTTAAAACAAATATGTTCAGGAGTTTCTGATGAAGTCGTTTAAGGAGTGTTTAGTCAACCCTTTCTGCAAGTTTGAAAACAAGGTAAACCATTTAGTATATCAGACAATATTTATTTTATATTGAAAAGAAAAACTTTTCTTTTTTTATTCTTTTTTTTTGTCCAATTAATCTTTATTTTAAATTCCGTTGCATACACTTTGGGGTGAGTAAATATACTAAAATATACTATAATTGAATAAAATTAAGTAAATAATATTTGCCCTGTCAAGAATGGAATAGTGAATATGGGAACTGCAGTTAATCAACTTTGTGAAGATATTCTCACAGAGAGGATCAATCAGGTATAAAAATCAATTAATCAATCAATCTATCAATTAATTTGCCAGTCAAGTTCAAATAATAAATTTATCAAGCAAACAATCATTTTTTGGTCTGGCTTAGCAGAGGTGGCTTAAGGGGGAGGGGAAGGGGGGACGTATCTCCTGGAAAATAATGGGGACGCCCCCCCTGGAAAAATAGGGGCGCAAGAAAAAGAGCAGCTATTTATAAACACGGATTAACAGTAACTAGTTTATTAAATTGTCCAGGAGAATATGTTTAACCATACTGGTGAATATCAGCATTATTTTGGACTAACTGGAACTCCGGACTTCTTGCAAGCTTTGGCAGATTTCTACACTAGGTCAGTAGAAGACGACATTATTTCAATATCTGTAAAAGGATTAAAAATGACACTTGACGGATGTACAGAATTTGTTCAGTCTTATTTATTACTTTTTGTTTCCTGCAACTTTAAAGAAGTTGAGTCTTTGCCACAAACTCAAATATTCAAATCCCTTTCTCTTTACCACCGGAGAAAGGTTGGTGTATTTACAACATATATTGGTACAAACCTTTGATGTTTCAAACTGATTGAATTTATAGTTTGAAATATCCATGGTCTACAATATTGGGTGGCAAAGATATAAGGATCAGAAAATCAGAGTTTGTGGCAAAAACTCAATTTTTTTGCCTTTTGCCCACTCGTCTAAAATACCAAAAAGAATTATTTCGGACTGTAGTTCAGCCTTAAAATTTCTACATTTGAAGGAATTGTTATTATTAATTTAATCTTTGTGGATATTCCTGTTATCTTAATTTGTTAATATCATTTATGATTATAATAATAGTCCCTCTTAGGAAGTTTCCATTCATGTTTTTTCAAACTGGTTAAATTTCATATTTTTTTCTTGTAAAGTTTAGTTCATTTATTAAACTAATAATAAGCTTCATTGATTAGGCTAATCTTTGTTCTTCTTCAGGAAGCTGGGCCAAGGGGAGAGAGTAGACTGTGAGAATATGAGGGTAGGGGAATAATCTATAAATATAAAGTTGTAATCTCTGTTTGTCTGTCTACTTGTTTGTCCGATCATAAGTCAGGAACCCTGCACCGATTTGCCTCAAATTTTTATTGGGGAACTCGGGAGACCCCCGGGAATGTTCTTAGCTTGGTTTTGAGATTCTAAAAATTTAGTTAAAAATCGTTCAAACGACGGGAGTAACTTTTATTAACCTGGGCAGCGTTGGGTTCCCATGATAGTGTTCTTATAAAATGAAAATCAACTTGTTGACTTTAAAAGTCACTATAATAAAACAAAGATATCTGAAATGGATATTTCTAACATTTATTTAAAAAACGAAAGTTTTGAAATATTTGCATAAGACAGGGTTAAAATTGGTTAGAAGCGAGGGTGACATGTGGGCGGACCAGCAGAAATAGATTCATTCGTCTTGAAAATAGTCAACGGCATCTGAGCAAAATCGTCTTCCTTATATTTCGAATTTGTGTTAACACAACTGTTTTCTGTTTCGAGATATATTGGAATTCAGTATATATAAAGTAGTAATCTCTGTTTGTTTGGATGTCTGATCATAACTCATTAACCTCTAAACCGATTTGCCCCAAATTATGATTGGGGAACTCGAGAGAACCATGGAAATTTCTAAGCTTGGGTTGAGATTCTAAATTGAGTATGTGTCGATTTTAAAAGAGTAAAATAGCTAACATCGTAATTTTCGACCAAACCCGGGTAACTGGCCGGATTTACTAATAAGCTGAAATACTCAGACATGAAAAATTCAACGAGCTGGTGTAAACAAGCTTTAACTTCTACATTTTTTACTTCTTTTTTTGAATAATTTGAATTAAATATACTTTCTTTAGCCTTTCAAACAGTATTTTAAAGTGGACTATTTTATGTATTTCTATTGTAGGTTGTCAACGGTGTGACCTCAGCTTTGGAAGCTATAGGTTATAATATCAATTATATTTTTCATTTCAAGTGGAACTCAAGACCCGCTAATTAATATCTATGACGTTTGCTTTAAAAGTTTAAACAACTTAGACCTTTACTCTACCTACCATTTGCTACCTGGTTTTTAGCCTGTTATTCGGCGTTAGATTGGACATTTTTTGACACGGCAGGCTACAAAAGGGGGGCCGAGCACTGAAAAAAACAACCTAAGAAAAGTGGAGTAAGTTTAGTAAAAAGTGAAAGGGAATACAGAGCTAATGGTATTAATGGTCATAATTCCTACAGATTTGTTTAATTTTGATTCCAGCTTGGACGATCTGTGATCCTGAGGATATTATTCTGGTTCCTACACCAACATATGCAAGGTTTATATACAGGATTACCCACAATCAATGAGACTGTAATGACGACCTGAAACTCTTGAATTACAATGATATAATCGTTGAATTTTGACATTTGTAGCGAATGAAGTTTTTATTGAGGTCCGGTATATTAAGAGATATGGCAAAGATTGAAAGAAGTGTGTATCTGTAGAGAAGGAGGAATTTGAGAGAAAAAAAAACGAATTAAATTCCGTACAGTTGACTCTGAAGTCTCATCCATTGTGGGTAATCCGGTACTTTTTTATTTATAGCAGACATCCTGAAAATATAATAGCAATCTTCTTCAAGGCCGGGCAAACTTTTTTCTTAGTTTTCCATTCTAAAAGTTTAGAATCTATAAATGCGGCTTTTAGCAGAATATTTGTGGATTCACAGTTGCCCTGAAGCAGGGATAGGTATAAAAAATGTCAACCTAATCTGTCAAAATATTTCATATTGCATATACCTAAGGAGTATTTTCCACCAAAAAAAATCATATTAATACCTTTTCAGAAAATATTTTATTAAAACCTTTTTTCTAATTTTGACCAATGGTTAAGTAGATCATGTCCATGTGAAGTATCAAATCATAGGTTTTTTTTGGTGTTTTGATTTTATTCCGATGCCCCTTTTTGACCATAAATGATCCTGAAGGCATTTGACCTCCAAATATCAATGACCTCCGGAGGTCTAAATATAATACAATGAAAATAAGTCATGTGAGGTATCAAATCATAGGTTTCTTGGTGTTCTGAATCCAGTATTGGGATCCTGTTTTCAGTCCGGGTGTTCCAACTGTGTTTGACCTCCAAATATTAATGACCTCCGGAGGTCAAAATGTAATTTTCTTTAACGTATAGAATCAACTAAAATGGGGCAGGTTATGATTTAAATCGTAGGTTTGTTACTATTCTAATTTCAGTCTATGCTATATGGTTGAAAGATTAATGGATTTAAAAATCATTGCTTATGACAAAGACTCAATTTCTTTAGATTCTTTGCTGATATGAAGGAGAGGATGAGGGCAAAGGTTGTCGGTGTAAACCTATCTGGTGAGGAAATTAAAATATAACATAAGTCATTGTTAACGTCGTCCATTTGTACATAATGTAAAAAATGTAATATTAATTGTGACTGATCACAATTGTCTCTAAAAGCAGGGTATTTGAATAATCTGGAAGTTAAGTGATGTCTTTATTGGATGTTTGGGGACGCCGGAATTTAATCGGGAAACTCAAGATTAGTAAATAAATTGAAAACACCAAATACCACTGATGTCAGTGATTAAAAAATCTTCCTGATAAATATCTTTAAAAATGGTTTGAATTATCAAGAAGATTAATTCAATTTCAATTTTATAAAGAATAAGAATTAAGTTGTTAAAACATTTTATTATTTGCACCTTTTTTTGGTAGATCAAAGACATAAACCCACAGTTTAAAAAGCTTAAAAGTCCTTATCAAATATTAACAATTAAAGAACGATGTTTTTACTTAATCTCTATGTTTATTGTTTAGGTTTAGTAAAAATATTTAAAAAGTTTTATATTGAGTTAACAGTTTCTCACGAATTTCAGTCCATTAGAAACAAAAGAGAAAAATGAATTTTAAAAGAAGTTCGATGGTTTTCACAGAATTTCTTGCAATTTATCATATGAAAAAGAAGGTTTCATGCTTAAATAAAAATTTTCTGTTAAATCGTGAAGGAGTTCTCATAAATAATTAATCTTTAAACATGTTTACAGTTCAATAATAATAATAATTATGGAAAATTTTAATTTTTAATTTTGAACAATTCTGTTTCGCTACTTAGCGATTTCCCTAAAGACCTAATATATGTACCGTGTGGTATTTCTCAGGACTGGATCGTAAGACTCCCTTCTCTCAACGCTCTTCATAATAAAAAGGAAGATAGTAAGGTTCCGAACGTTTATTTCTCTGAGCCTTCAATCTAAACAAGTTTAATAAACCCACAGAAAAAGCTTTGAGTGAAAATCATACAATTACAACAAATAATCCACTCAGGCATTAAAAAACTGTGGCTAGGAACCAATAAACATATACACAATTATCAATCATACTAGAATCAAACCGATAAGCATAAATATATATAAAATAGTTACCACGGTGATCCCAGAATTCTGAACACGGATAATACTTGCAAAACGAATAAACATATACTGATATAAATTTAACTACTACTCCGCGAGAAATCTTGCGTCTGCGCAGTCGGACTGTAAACAGTTCCTAAACTAGTTCTTTCACAATACATTCCGTACAGATCTTCAGGAGGAACTCAGAAATACACAGGGGCGACAAACAGACTTTCTATACGCAGCATGGCTCGCGTAACAAATTCTAAACCGAGATATTTAGCGGCAGATGGATTTTGCCTGCGGCCTCAGCTACTAGAGGATGAAATATTGAAGAGACAGATGAAAGGTTTTCAATAAATTAATATTTTTATTCACAAACATTTGGGGTGAATATTTCTTCCAAGAAAGGGGAAATTTTTTTCAATAAATCAAAAATTTGAAAATACTAGAACTAAGAAAAAAAGGTGAAGTAAAAAAGTTGTTAATTATTAAACTTGTTTAGTATCCCTTATTTTTCCCTAAATGTTAAATATACTTTTGTTATGTATTTGAATGCTTATTAAAAACAATTTTCTGGGATTTTTCAAAAATTTTTAAATATTTAACTTTTTAAATATTTTTGGAATAAAACTATACTTTCAGGGCGCATTCTGTAAAGTATTAATAGTATGCTTTATCCTGTTGATTTATGTGCAAGCCTGTCTTCTCCGTACATTTTAAAACAATAAAAATGTAAATATCTCGCAGATTTCCTGTTTCTATTAGTGGGGTTTCAAAATAAAAATAAATAAAAAATTTAGGTTCATCAATTTTACGCCAAAAATGTTAATAAACTGTTTAGGAGAACGAGTGAGAGGAATTATATTCTGTAACCCGCAGAATCCCCTTGGCCAGGAATATCCACTTTTCTACTTTTTACGCAAATATTCTAACTAATCATTTTATAAAATTTTTCTTTATTTTTTGTTTAAGATTGAAAAGTATTATTTCAGGTGTACTCCAGAGAATTAGGAATTTACAATTACAATTTACCTAACTAAGAATTAGAATACAAAATAAGAAAATTGATTATAATATTCTCTGAACAAAAATTTTCAATGTTTGCTTTTTTGTTAATCCCTTCGTTAAGTTGTAAAGTTTCTTATACAAAAAATGTCTCTTCTAATCTAAACATTTTCTCCATTAAAGGGAGTGATTGCTAAAAATAAAGATTCAAGAGAAAACTGTATTTCCATTTCTTTTCAAGGTTCCTTAGTTTAATTTACGTCCACGTGCAATATTCTCTTTATTGGAAATAATTACAAAAATAATAATCATCAACTTAAACGAGATCAAAACTTGTGTGTGAAATAGAACTACTCTACAACTCTTGATCCACTGCAGACAACTTTTGAAACTGTGGGACAATGGATCAGTTATCAAATCAAATAAATGTTTTAAAAGAATCACTTCATTGGACAAGATACACATAATCAAGGGATTAACAACACTCAAGTTTTGACCTCCTAGTTTGGCCTTGTAAAAGAAATAACCAGAATCGGTATAAAACTTTATGCCTCTCATTTAAGGCAGACGCTGAACTCAAACCTTCGAGTGTGCGAGGTGGGGAAGACTTCACTGCAGATTTTAATTTTGTACATGACGTGCACTTTTTCAACAATTTTCAATTAAATTAGTATTTGTTTAGGGTTAGGTTAGGTTAAGACACTTTCTGGACGCGCTGCGGCTAGGATTCAATCTCGATCTACAAATGTCATTCCCCCTTAATCATGCTTTTAATTAAGATCAGAATTATGTATAATTGTTTTCTCTAGTACATGAGATAATGCGCGTGTGTAGTAAGCATGGCGTACACATTATATCAGATGAAATCTATGCAATGTCAGTTTTTGATGGAACACAGTTTAACAGTGTTCTAAGTTTTACCAAGGAAGAGGTAATAAAAAGTGTTCTAGTGAAACATCATTTTATTTCCAATTTGGGAAAGTTTTTTCGTTAAAAGGATTGTAATCGTAATTCTAAGTGACCCTCCATGCAAAGATGGCAATACCCGATTCACAACGGTACCCTAAAAAGCTTTTTTCAATTAAGTATAAATTAGAAACCAATGCTTCAAAAAACTGATTATTTTCAATTGTGGTTTCTGTACAAAAGTTACTTGCGCTAGTCTATCTTGCAAGAAGAAAAATATAGATTTATCAGAATTAAACACTTTTAAAACTAGAAAAAAAGGCAACATCTTCCACGTTATTGATCACATTAAGGTTTAAAGGGTACCGTTGTGAATCGAAAATTGTCACTTTTGCATGAAGAGTTACTTGAAATTACGCTTACATTCCTTTGTGGTTGAAAATTATAAATTAAGAATTGATCATAAAAACAGTATAGCTATATATCAATTCTGTTCTTGATTCCGTCATATCATTTTAGATTATATATCTATTAAAGGTTTTTGAAGGATTTGATTTAATTCCGTTAATTTAAAAGTTTACAACATATAAAAAAAAATTATTTTCAGATTCCTAATCCTGATCTTGTTCATCATCTCTGGGGGTTCAGTAAGGATTTTGGAATAGGTAATTTATCGACATATCATGAGTGCATGAACTGTCGTCCTGAAATTTATTTAAAAATGTATGAAAGCTGTAATGCTTCATCATTGGTCTGCGCAAAAAGAAAGCTGCTGAGATGAGAGGGTTAAATTCGGGTTTTAAAAATATATCCAAATATTATTGTAGAACGTCACAAGTTTAAGAAACTGCTTTTCATTTTTAATTCAAGGTAAAGTATAAATAGCTCTGAAATATGATTTTCCACGGCATTTGATCTTTAATATGTTGAGAATACGACATTATTAAAAACTCTTACTATTTATTAATATATTTGCTATACATCAAGTAATCTCTGATTGTTTTGAATGTCTGATCATGACTCAAGAACCCTTGACCTGTTCAGTATAATACTAAAGATCAATAAGGGGTCGAAAAGGTGTTAAAATAATATTTTGCAATAAAGGAAACCATTTTTTAAAATCTTAATTTTATTATAAAGATTCATGCTTAATATTTCTTCTATATTCCAATTGAATTTTTTTTTGAGGTTCGGGTGTTCTATAATCCTATGTTGTAAAATGCCGGGGTGGGGGTGAATTGTCCTAACGTGACCATGCAATTAGTTAGAAACATTATCCCCACTGCACTTTATGTATACCATTGTGATTCATTCGATCAGCTAATTTAAAAAGACATTTTTAGCTGGATTTCGAGTTGGAGCGATTCACTCTTTAAATCAGGTAAATCATAAATTAAATCATAAATCATGAACAATACAATACAATTTAATGAGTGAATCTGCATGTTTTGCGGATCCGGATACTGCAGGAAGCAAAATGGTTGCGGATCCGGATACAGCAGGAAGCAAAATGGTTGCGGATCAAATGGATCCATATCCAAATCCTAAGCACTAAGTAAAATGTTATATATTTTTCAGCCATGCAAAAATGTAATAGAGATCTCGCCCTCCCCTCGGTCTTCCCCTCCTATTAGTTTCTAGTTAATTAATGTTAGTAATTATCTTGATGGTCTTTAATTAACACAGTCACAGTTAAGCCTTATACTTTGTATTAAGAAATATTTAGAACAAAGTCACATTTGTTTCCGAAATTATTGTAATGAACGGTTTATTTGAAGAATATAATAGTGTTATATATAAACATAGTTTTTAACTCTTGTGAAAAAAGGAATTATTACTCGTACGAATTTGTGACCTTGTATCTTCTTTGGATTTGATTTTTAAGCACAATAATGATAAAGAAAAATTATCCAGATACATATCACAAGAATTTCAAAGCAGTTTTGCTTTTCATTTATATAGCTGCTCTTCAATAAGAGGATTTATAATTGAAAACATCATAAGATTTCAATCTTACGTGTATTTTACTGAAGTTTGTCGTGCACAGTGAAAATTTAGCTTGATAAAATATAATAAGATTTTAGAGCATATTTTAAAAATCTCTTAAAAGCCAACAAAAAAACTTGAAATGATCAACATTGTTGTTTACTCTAATAAATTGCAGGATCTGATTCGCACTATTGACGCAATGGGGATATTTACTTCCGTTTCAGCACATATCCAACAGGTGGGTATAGGTGGTATTTTATCGAACCACTTTTATTCATATAGATACAGGGTTGCCCACAAAGAATGAGAATTCAGAGACGACTGTACGGTGTTCATCAGTTATTGCTTCTGACCTTTTTCTTTTTTTCGGCAACTGTAAACTTTTCCTTTCAAAGACAAAGCATTAAAAATACAATTCCAATATTTGATAGTTAATAATACATGCATGATAATACGCCACAAACAAATAATTTATCGATTCCCATTTTCCTGTTTTTAATTTCCTTACTCCCTGCGTGAAATAAGAGTAATTATATGGTTATCTTGTAAACTTTATATATCTATAATTACCCCCTGCGTGAAATGAGAGTAATATATAGTTATTATATGGTTATCTTGTAAACTTTGTGTATCTGTAATTACCCCCTGCGTGATATGAGAGTAATTATATGGTTATCTTGTAAACTTTATATATCTATACTTACCATGAAGTGTGTGGTCCAAACAGGCTCCCTCGCTGTGATGCTCACATCTCAATACTTAAAGCGAGTGGCTGAGGGGTCGAATGACATATAGACTTAGACTGATAAGTACTTTTATAAAATTAACTAATTATAACAACCAAAAAACTAACAAAACTGAAACATTTAACAAATATATGAAATACATTAAATCCCGGGTAGAATCTTAGAGTCTGAAACCTAGTCTTAGACGCCGGGCCGACCTCCTCAGACCCTCTGTTTTTGGAAAAAAATATCAAATTTCACCAAATATATGTAATATGAGCAAAAACCATTAAAATATTTGAG